ATTCAATGTCTTAAAACCATCTGGTACTACTTAATGATCTTTTGGTAACTAAGACTGATTTCTTTTGTTATGCTCTCTGAAGATTAAATTTTGCTCTGGACTTCATTGCCTGGAGGAGGCTATTGTAAACCAAGATACTCAGAAATCAGCAAAAAGATGTTAAAACTAAAACACAAAACCAAAACACTTTAACTCTAGTGGTACTGCTGCCAGTGAGTTCAAGAAAATATCCTGAGATTATGCTAAAACCTGTCTGGTAGTGTGGGCTGATGGCTGAAGAACTACTTTCTAACAATGCGCACAGTCTTGCAAATGAATAACACCTCTGTGATACAAGAAATGCTTCTTTGATGTTAGGTTTTAAATCCTGATTTACTCAAACAAGCCATCATGCAAATAACTAGATTCTAGTAAGCATTACTATTGCTTTAGATTGTGAGGAGGGAAATACAAAGCTCAAGGATTTGCAGTCCCTTTTACAAGAGACTCATTGGGAAGAGCCTGTATCTACTGAATACTGAAAAGCTCCATCAGGATTACAAAGGAAATTGCTATAAAAGATTAAAATACGTGGTCAGCAGTAATAACTCTCCCTCTGTTTATTGTCTGAGATTGTATTTGTGTTGGAGGGAAGATCGGTGTGCTTCAGATATCAGCAAGGAAAAGAGAGAGAGGCTTCAAGAGGGATTTTCCATGGCAAGGTTAAGAAGAGGAAGTGGATGGGGAAATGTGCTCCACAGAGCTGCAGGAAGTTGAAGCTGGAGGAAGGCAGCACAGCAGCTAGAGACTGGAGCTAAAAAGTTTGCTGAGTACAAACACCAACAGCAGTTTTTGGAGATTAAGTTATGAAGCACTGCCAACTGACCTGGTCTTCAGGTCTCTCTTTGTTGGGATGCTCCTGTGGCACCTGCCAGCATTAGCTCGTCCCTCAGGGACTGGCAGGCGGTGACCTTTGTTGGGTGTTTATTACACAAGGCTTCCCACTTGCTCAGGTCAGCTAGGAACTTACTGTGTAGTTTGCACAGGCTGTGGAACTAGAAGGTATCACTGTTTTCACTGGCTATAACAGGCTTTTGCTTAAAAAACAGCAAATGCATACATACAGAATACCTGTGTGTACAAAGAACTCAGAGAAGGACTGTAATGAAATTCTGGCTGAAATGATTGCAGCATTTTATCTTCTGTGTTATCTGTTTGTCTGTTGCTTAGAATTACAATAGTGATTTAAGGAGATGAAAAAGGCAGGAGAATCAAGCTAATTCCTCCAGATATGGCTGTTGAGAAAAGCCTTCCTTCTTAATTAAAAGTTTAAGCTTGTGCTTTGCAACTATGGCACTCATTTACAAGTAACTGAAATAACTTTGATTAAAATCAGCCATGAGAAACCATCAACCATGCTCCACATGGCCCTCTGTATCTTCCAGTGCAGAGCAACTCTCTATGTTTCCCTGATCCTAACAACTTGCACTGAAATCCTTCCTCCAATCTAGCCTGGTACCAGGAGACATGCTCATGTGAACTGAGATACTAACTGTAGGATTTATGAAGCCTTTGAGCTTCATAGTTAGCCTTTGAGGCTGTCTCTGGAGAGCCCTTCCACTCCCTACAGTGAGCAGTGAGTTACTGTATGATACCAGGGCTTGCACGAGACACCACTTAGCCTTCATTTTACATCACAGCTGAAACAGGGCATCAGCCTTCTCCAGTTACTTTGCTTATACAGGCCACAACTGCAGATACAGCTTCACAAAGAATTACAGTAACCAATCCATAGCAACATACAAAATTTAGGAAACATATTCTGTAAGCACTTGAAGTACTTTCTGTTACTCCTCAGTGTCCCTGCGGGTGGTGCTGACACATGCTCCGTACCACTCGTGTGCCCAATGCCCTCATATAAGGCTGGCCCCTCTGCTTGAAGAGAGGAGCACGGGTTTGTTGGGACTGGCCAGTGAAAGGAATGTACTGTTGCCAAAGGGAGAAGATGGGAAATGGGATGGGCTGGGAGGCATGAGCACTGTAAACGTGGACTCTAAAGAGCTTCATGCCGTAATTTCTCTGAAGGATGTGGTACGCTGCAGAGGTGAATCACAGCAGTCTCTAGTGCTCACCTTACTTGCTTTAGTCCTTCACATGCTTTTTTAAAGAGTAACTGCAGGTACTCCAGAACAGCTGTTTCTGCTCATCTCATTTTTAATTCTAAGTTTGGGTGCAACTAACTTTTCAGAACGTTTGCTTAATCATCAATACTTATCATAAACTTTTAAGATTATATTGGTTTGGGGAGCTGCGGCATGCTTCTGATTTATTACACATCCATTACACGCAAGCTTTTGTGAGCTAGATGAGGCTGTTAGGAAGGGTTGTTTGCTGGGGAGTACAATAAGCAGATAAACTTTGCCATTCATCATTGTCTCCCACTCTTCCCACAGTAAAATTATTAGCTCGTTTTCTCATAATCAACCTGGCTGACCCTCAAATTGTTAACAAACCAAAACTAAAGTGTCCTTATATGCATTCCACAGTGGCATGCATGCTAGCTTAAATGACTGCACTAGACATTTAGTATCCTGATAGCTGTCTCCTTTCTTATCCCACACGGTCCCCCTTTCTCTTTTTAAAGGAATAGCAGCTTTCACTGCCCCCAAAGGCTGTATGGAAGTAACACTACCAAGTGCACACTGTGTATTTTCTTCTGAGCAAAACCGGTTGCATGTCAGAAGCTTTATGCCTATCATCCTTGCTTTGCCCCCAACCTTATTCTCCCCCTGATGTGTTTTAGGGGAGGGGAGGGGAAGAGGAAGTGAAGGTTTGTGTTGGCAAGAAAAGCAGCGACTGTGCTGCACAAGCACACTTCACGTATAGGCTTACGGGAACCTCCCCAGCACAATGCAAGGCGTTCATCCCTTCACCTGCATTCCTGAGCTCAAGACCACCACAGCTATTAGACTTCTGGCTGAAGGACTCGCCTGGCAAACACTTGGCGTAACCTTTCCAGCTCGGAGCAGCTCTGCAGGACTCAAGTCCTCGTTGCTGGAGGTGTGGATTTAAGTTAACGAAAAGTCACCTGACCCTTTTGAGGAGAGCTCACCTGCCCCCTCCCAAGGGAGGGTGAAGAGAGGCGTTTAAAATGCTTCCATTAATTTTCACCATCTGTAGTGAAGATGTTTACTTAAGCTGAAAAGAAGTCTCAGCTATGATTTATGAGTTTCATACAAAGTACTCCCTTGGCTTAGATTTGTCTGTAGTTCCCAGCTTTCTAAATCCAGTTGAGTGTGTATTTTACAATGGTGAGCTTTTTATCCACACTGCTTCTTTGTGCACTGAGAGCGTGACTGTGTTATGGGCAGACAATAATCAATTAGTGAAATGATATCTTGTGACTGAGAATGTGAAGTGCGCTTTGCAGGGACTGACAACAGCTCTTTTAACTCATCCCTTTCTGTATGTCTCTTAAATATCCCAAAATATCAAAGGTCTTTCATTAGAGCTTCAAACTCTCTCAAATCCACATGGGCCACTGGATACCTCGGAAGACTAGGAACTGAAGTGAGCCGGCAGCAACTGGCGACTTGCCAGAATGAAGAATAACCGACTGTTTTCAAAGCTTTGAAAATATTTGAAAAGGAAGGACAGAGAGAGGAGTGTTGCAGTTCCCTTCAGGACTCCTCAAATACCACTCTTCCAAGTGTCAGCTGCAGGAGTCTCAGAGTCTTAGTGAGAGCTAAAACACAATCTGCCAGTTTTTACCCCCCTCCTCTTTTAGCTTGGCGGCAGTGAATTTTCTGTCTCTTCATGTTGCATCTCGCCATAAAGAGGAAAATTTAAACAGGAGAAAGAATGTGCTTTGAATTATTGGAAATTAAAGGAAAGCAGGAATGCCAGCTCATTCTGGGATCCCAACCCTTTCTCTGCACAACAATCCTAACTATCCAGTCTTGTAATTTGGTTAAAGGGAGAAACCTTCATGTTAGAGCTGTGTTTTAAGACAAACATTTTGTTCACAAAATCTAGACTTTTTACTAGTTTCCAGTTAACCTGAAACACCAAAAGGAGATCCCACAGGAGAGCAAATGTGTGTCTCCCTGTAGTAAGATTTTTTCTGTATTAGCTCTCTAACAAAGTGTTTCTTGCCACAAAATACATACAATTCCTCCTATACTGCCCATTTTTGCTTAAATGTGAAGATGCTTTAAATGGCTGTACAGAAAAAATGCATTCTATGTAAGCAAGGATGTAACAAGATAAGAAGGAGCTCAGAAATGGCCTCAGTTGTATGGAAGCACAAACTGGAGCCTGTCGCTTGGTTGTCAGAACAGGATTAATAGTGGCCTTCTAAAGAAAGAAACTTAAAACTCTCTTGCCAAGTAATAAAAGCCTGAAATTAGAAGGGGGGGGGGGGGGGGGGGGGAGTGACTGTAGCCGTGATAGTAACTATAGAAATCTGTTTTTCAGGCCAAGCGTAAGAAGCTAGGCTGTAACTCCTTGATAAATGCTGGCATGATGTGAAGTGAGCATCTCTTAACTCACAATTTATTTGGGCTCTGGGTCATTTTATCCAAGATTAGTCAATGACCAAATTCTTTCAAGCTCGTTTGTTGAGCATTCAAAATGAACATGTAGTCCCACATCTTCATCTCCAACCTAAAACTGAAGGGGGCGGCCAACAACAGTACCCATGCTAGGCTCTCTTCTGTGCTTAGAACCATAGTAAGGCAGCACTGGCTCTCACTTTTCATTTCTCTCCCAGAGCTGTGCTTTTATCAAGGTTAGATCTCGACTGCTCTTAAATTGTCAGCTGGCTCTGGTCATCAAAAACACCTTCTCTTTCATCTCTTGTACATCTGGAGAGGCAATTGTAACTGTTTTCTCAGATGTAGATTTCAGCACGATAATCCATGCCATTGTTGCATGTAGATTGCAATAACCCACATGAAAACTGCTCCTGAAGACCACACACGAATGCAGAAAGAAGCTGAATGGCAACCATAGCTCCAGGGAGCATCTTCTAATGGATCTCTAAAAATGCATTAGATTCTTATCTTCTGTGGTGCCTCTGAGGTGTTTGTGCCAGTGGCTCACAGACTTAAACATGCCAAAGTCAGGTTTTAAGGAAACAACTTCCTCCGTAAAGCAGTGTAAAGTAACAAGCTTGTTCTGCTGATTTAAATGTGATTTATACAGTCCCTCTCACACTGGCAGAATAAAACTGATTTTAATTACTGGGGTAAAGCCAAGCTAATTCATACAGGTATTTGAAATATTATGTAGGCACATGTTATAGCTGCTTGTATATCAAATATCTGAACCCAGGGAAAATCTGGCAGAATGTGGCATGTGCATTAAGGTCTCCAAAGAACAGACTGTTGCATTTGCTTTGTGACCTCCATGCATCTGGTCAGGGAACAAATGGTATGGATACAGATCTACCCAGGGAGGAGATCAGATGTCATGAACTGGGTTGTTTATTTTGTCTTAGAGGGGGAGCATTGATAACAGTCTTCAGTTACATAGGGAGAAAGGAGGCATAGCACAAAGAAAAAAGGCTGCTCTGCGAGTCTGTGGTAAATGGGAAGAGACAATCTAGGGTTATATTTTAAATGGTAGAAGCTTTCTAATAAGTAAGGCTAATGAAGCACTGTATGTGTTATTATACAACCCTCATCATTACAGACCTTCGAAAACAAGTTGGAGTGGACTGGTACAGGTCTGGCTGCTGCTGCCCTAGAGCTGAGAAACAGGGCACTCACATCCTCAGGCCCCTGACAAACCTGTTTTTCCCATGTATTTATGAGCAATTGGTTTGACTTGTAAGTTGTACAAGGCACAAACTGGAAGGAAGGAAGAATTAAAAAAAAAGGCAAGTGGGCATGAAAACACACATGAATCACACAACAAAACAGCACAAGATCTTTCCAAAGCAAGTACCCTTGGTTTGGCTCAACTCCTCCAACTTCACCACCTGGAAGTAAATCCCCAGAAGGGTGTAGGAAACCATGCAGAACCTGTAGTTCACTACAGCATCCCAGCCTAGGTGTGATTGAGGTGTAAAAAAAAATAGAGTAGAAATGTGTAGAGGGGTATGAATGATACTGTAGTGAGGCTAGTGAAGGGGCTGAAAGCTATGCTGTATCACACATGGGAGCAACAGTCATAGTAATCCTCAGAGCCATCAACCCTTGTCTCTGCATTTTCCCCTCTTCTGTTTTAAACAGAACTGGGAGACCAACAGGACTTCCTACTGTGAAGTTCAAAGGATAATGGAAAACAGTGATGCATAAAGACGCTTTCTGAGGATGCTACAGCCCACAGTGTTTTACTCTTTTCTATCAGTTCTCCCACCCACATACCAAACAGGACTGTTTTTGTTCCTATTTTCTAATGTTAGTGTCCCAACACAATGAAACCCTGAAATCTTTAACTTGCCAGTGTTTTTTTGTTTGGGTTCTCCCTTTCTTCTTTATTAATGTGGTGAAGAGAGCCAGGAGAATATCTTCCACTGGTTCTAGTTCTTAAGAGAGATGTACTAGATAGTGAATAACTTTACCAACAGCTGTGATGAAATCATTATGTATAACTAACCTTTGACTGGTGTTAGGAAGTCACCAACCCAATAAATCTGTGCTATATCCAGGTCTGAAGCCAGATGGACAAAGATCACAGAAATGGGAAGATAATGATGACACTGACCTCTGAGTAACCTTCCCTAAACAGCAGGTTGATAACATCAAGTGTGTCTTAAAGAATGGTTCAGTCACCAATACTTGCTTACTCTGGCATGCTCATACAGAGGCAGGCTGTACTATAGAGATCAGTCAAAGTAGCATGAGCACTTGGCTACTGCTTTCCAGTAGCTGATTTTAATCAGAGACCAGTGTCACATTACCATCTGACACATGGGGTAGTGGAAGTACTGAGAGGAAAATCATCCCTCAAGTTACAGCATCTCTCCAGAAATCTAAAACCAGGTCTGAGCACCAGTTGTGTACCTGGTAACACCACTCACCCTACCTTGCCAGCCTTTGCTCAACACGCTTAACCTAGCCTGGAAACTGGCTCAGATGAAGAAAAAAAGAGACTAGGTGGTCTACCTGGATCCTACCTCAGTGTGGTGAATTACCTGAATGATGCCCTGTGGGGTCACAATTTGAAATACTGCTAGTCCAGACTTAACAGTCACATGGAAAAGTGTCTCATTATACCCAGGCACAGAAGCATCTCACTAAGCCTGTGCTTATTTGAGCTTTCCCAGTGTTTCAGACTATGCCTTCCATCCCTGTAGCCTTCCTATTACAATTATCAACTGCAGAGACTCTCAAAACCAGGTGAAAGGTTGTTTTAGTGCAGCTTCCTTGTATTCTTGAAAGATGTTTAATAGTCAAAGTGGTGCTCAAGAAATTGAGCAATCCTCATCTTAACAGTGTTGGCATACCAACACCCGGTCTAATGCCAAATAGGCTACCTTGACAAGTGATACAGCTCTGTGGTGTGGCTTGTCAGTATAAACCAGCCAGATCCACCACACTCCACATCTAAACCACAGAAACAAGCTCACCACCAGCAAGAAAAAGCACAGGTGCCAACCTCATCTTGAATGTTCTGGTTATTACAGCAGGAAGGTCCTTAAATCCAACCTGGTTCTAAAGTTCAATGGTTTGGGAAACATTTCTAATCTAGTCATAATAGGGTGGCATTACAAGTGACTTGAAGAGTTGTGTTATTCTGTTAGAAGTGCTACGTGGTACAGTTAGGTGCAAAGTTTGCATAGGACATAAATCACAAAAAAATAGGAACTGGAGAGCTGTGTGATGATACATTAATAATTCCTACTTAGATGCTCTGCTCCCTGAATTAATTTCCTTCACATACTTGGTTTTTTTTCCACCTGTGTCGTTAAGGCATTTAATTTTCACTCCTGTTCATTTTATGCAATTGTTAAAATAGTGCAGTATTCATGTCTGGGTATATATTATGCAGTATCCAGTCTTGTTGATGGTTATATAATGTAGCAAGGGGAAATCACTGTGCAGACTTCAGCTTTACTCTCTTGCCTTCTCTATTAAGGTCAAAAAATCAAACTGATTCAAGTGCTTTTGCGATTAGATCATCACATCACTGAAATGCAAGAACTGGTGTCAATAAATTGAGGGGGGGCCTTAGCATTAGTTGATTTAAAAACGCATGAATTATAAGGCTTCTGGCTTGGGTAAGATTTAATGAATTATTAATCTGCATATTTCACAAATCCTGTGCTCTTCATTCCCTTATGTCTGCTTATAACTATATTTGCTAGTCACCATTTCCCTGTAAATTAAGGATGTTAGCTATAAATCAGGTCACAAATTTTAGCTATTCCACATTTTCTTTTCTGTTTGACACAGATTATTCGTAGATCTAAATGCCAAAGAAGACAATTATATTCATTTAATATGACCTCCTGCAGAATACAGTCTCATGCAGTAGTTTCTAGATTAACCCTTAACTGCTACTTAAAGCTACAATGAGAAAGCGATACAATTAGAAATATAGACTTAAAAAACCTCACGGGACAGTGAAGTTGGGGCATCCTTATGCAAGTTTTTCCCAAAGAATTATGAATGCACTGAATAAATATACTATCCAAATGAAGAGACAGCTGAATGTAGTGCAAAAGGATCCCATTGTAAGGCATGGAGCCCAACTAACAACAGAGTATTATTGTCCTTCTGAGGCCTACTTTACATCTGCCTTGAAGTTTTGCAGTGTTTTCCTCAGCTACAACCGTTGCAGAGGGCAGCAGTGATGCTGGTAGAGAGCAGAGCAAACCCCTTAGGGCCTGTTGTGGGGTTCAGAGCCTCAGTTCAACTTGAACATGAATGCAACCTCTCTTTCAAATCTGCTTTGGACAACAGGGTTTAAATATTTTCTCATGGGTGCCTTGGCTTTAGAAAAGCACATTGAACCCATATTTAAACAGCAGGCCCACACAGGGGTTTGTTTCTGATGGTATTGTATTTATTACAAACTACCAGCAACCCTGGCTTGGGAAGGAGCTGTCCTGCTAATGGCAAATCACCCAGAGTCTGGACAGGTGTAGTCCCAGTCTTGCCTCTCCCATTAGCTTCTGTGTGGAAGCTTGCTTTATTTCTCAGTGTATAGACACGGTGCACCTTAAGCACAAAACATACAGGTAATCCTTAAACTATACGACAGTTTTCATGCATGCAACATTTTATCTCAGCAAGAATGGAAATATCTCACTAATAAGGAGCTTTCATGTGTTGCCTCACCCATTAGCCATCTGAGTTAACTGCACATCTTTTCTCCTCTAGTGACATTCGCAGCTCCCTTACAGATGTAAACCCAAGGCACAGCTGAAGCAACTACTAGTTAGACAGGCCAAGGGAAAATGACCACCTGGCTATAAATCATGGTATTGAGTGTCATAACTGCTTGCACTTCTTGTTCCCCAAAGTTAAAAAAGAGAAGACTTTGGTATAGAGTTAATCAGAAACAGTTTCACGTCTATGTAAATCCAGGAGATTTGGTTTAGTGCAGAAATTGAGCTTTCTGATACTTCCATGTATGAGTGTCCTTACTTAGGAATAACTACTCATGCCTTTTCTCAAATTTTCATTCATTCCTGAATTAAGAAAGAAAATCCCTTCACTTTAGGAGCTTTTTCACTTGTTGAAAGTTGGCAGCATGAGGTTCAGAGGAGAGAAGCAACTGCACAATGGCACATAAAAATACATAGCAAATTATGCCAGAAGTGAAGCCAACTACTGTAGCCAGGCAACAGGAGCAGGAGAGTGTAAGCACAAAGTACAACTTACCAAACTGGAGTTTAGCAAGACATATAGGTACACTCACCTCCTGTCTCAAAAGTGCTACAAGTCTGGGAGCAATTTAGACCTCTGTGTCATCTAGCGGTGGCAGAAGGGTGCCAGCAGGATGGAGGCTGTGGCAGCACGCCAGGAACAACCCAGTGAGCTATCTACAAGCTCCCAGGTATCTGACTTCTGCTTTCTTAAGTCTCATCCTGGTAAATGATTGAGCACAAGTCAGTTGAGGTCATGATCTGAGGATATTTCTGCCAGGGAGAAAAATCTCCGAGGAGATACATTTCTCTCATAGCCAATCTCAGAGGGGGAAACAACTCATCTGACATGCCACCTTTTGGTCCTTTTAGGGCTACAAGTACTCTGACACAGCATCTCCCACCTAGTTTTTCTACTGGGAATCCTGCCCAGCTTTGCAGGAGATTGTACTCCCCTGCAGTGGGTGTATTTGTCCATTTCATTCATTCATTCATCTGAGCTGCTTTGCATTCACAAACTCCCCAGATATGTTGTTATATAAAATAAGGTATGAACCTCTAGAACTGGCTAAAAGTAAAGAAAGATTTTCTGTGAAAGAAAGTGACATAATTAAGAGTACTTTTGCTGCCACAGAAATGTTTGTTACACTTGTAACACCACCTTCTGCAGTCTTTTGGTATTCCTTTATTGATAGAGATGGCAGGAATAAGCCAAACTTGCCCATAAAACAAAACAAAACAAAAAAAAAAAAGGAAGAAATCTCAAACTGTTTCTCAGTACCTTGTTTCCAATTTGTGCCCCACATGTGGCAAGAAATAAAGGCATATACATTGATTGCATCTGAAAAAGTCAGATGGTGGTGGGCTGAATTACAACTTGATGCATATTGGTGGGATGAGATGCTGATCCATTTGCACAGTAATGTGCTATATTTAAGTCATGCATTGTGGCATCTTCAAAGAGGCCAGTCATAATTATGATGGATTAGACTGCAGAGTCAGTCCTAGATGCAGTAATTGTTTCACAGATGCTGCTGATGTGACTTGAATATCTAATGAATTATAGCTGAAGAAAAATACATGGAGCTTCTAAATGGCCTGAATAAAATTCAGTTATGGAAAAGAGAAAAAAGTCTAACTGCTACGCTTAGGGAAAGGTAGATTTACGTTGAGAGGCAGACAGTTCACCCCACAACAATTACAAAGAAGAGCACAGAAACTTCGTAAAGCACAACCAGGTCTACTTAGTAGTAGCATCAAGAATATCTTCCTGGTGTCCCAGTTGAAACCAGTAGTAAGGTACTGCTGCCATTTGTTTTTTTCCAGTTTTAAATTGCAAATAATCATTGTGATTTGTAGCTGCTGGAGCAAGATTTGTACTGAGGTGTGACTTGAGGATTGTGAATAACTGAGTGTAGACTGAGAAGGAAGTATAACATCAAGTCACCGTAATCCCAGATGCATTTCAAAGAATGCAAATCTGCCCCTTTTAATCAATGGATTCACTTTGTATTTTAAAGAACCAAATGATTACTACATCCTTTGCAATGTCTAACACTGGTGCCTTTTACACTGGAGGTGATCAGAATTTGGGGGAACTGGTTGACCAATACCATGAGGTGTTTGAGAATACTGTGAATAACAATCCATGTCACACAGCAAACTTCACCTTGTGATTTCCAAGGACCGCATGAACCTAAGACTCTTTTCTGCAGCACAGATGTGCTCCTTTGAGGGGTTTGCAAGCCAAGCTGAGAGAGGTCAGGCAGCCCCCACTTCTAAACAGAAAAGTGTTTTTACCTATCAGTAAGGAGCTGAGAAGAAAGATTAGCTGGCAACTCTCAGAAGGGATTTAGTTGCAACCTATATGGTTGGTTCTGGTACACCAGAACACAAGCAGCAAGGCAGATTCTGAAAGCCAGAGTTTCTCACAGCTAATTCATGCAGACTAAAACTTTTTTAAATAAATGCTTTAGAAGCTGCTTGGCAGCACAGTGTTAATTACTGTGGGGCCTTTTATTTCATTTCATACTTGTGAAATACACACAAGTATTGCCTACACACTCATGTCTGAGTTGTGGTTCAGCTGTAGTTTCTAGGTATGAAAAGTGTGAAGGCAAAGAATGGTTTCCAAATTAGGCTGACATTTTATTTCTGAGACACTCCGAGAGCATCATTCTGCTGCCCAGCCTAGAATGACACATCAGAGGAATCCTTTTCATGCTGCTTTTCTGTTAAGTGTGGAATATCGTCTCCCTGGAAAGCCGAAAAGGCTTTTGTCTTGTGGTACTTTAAAGCTAGGCTGGGAAATACATTGAAATATATCTAGAAGGGAAGAAGCCTACCTTACCTTGTCAAGAAAATAGGTAAGATGGACAAACAATCTTTTCCGTCTCCCTATTCTTAGCTTTCCCTTCAGAAACTCTTTTTTAAAGTACTGTTACTTGTAGAGAGAACATCTCTACTTCTGTCATACAAAACATAAATTGGGTACAGAAAGAAAAGAAAAAAACTTTAGGAGGTCAAAAGTAAATCTAAACCCAAATTTGGAATAAGAAGGAAGTGGGTACAACTTACCATATAGGTGCCTGCCAGTCAAAATGTATGTTTGAATCATCCTGGTACTGAAATTGGAGCTGCAAGCAGAGGGAATTCTGCTGGATGTAATGAATCTCATGAATTAATATTACTTTTAAAAGCAACTTAGTAAGGAGATACTGCACTGAAAGCTGTATAAATTACGTGTTCCTTTGCATTTAAAGAAAAATAGAAAAAATTAGTGTGGCATAAATACGTAAGCAATAGCAACCATGTGTAGTGCTTCTCCTGACTGCCGCCCAACCAGAGGTGACCTGGTGATGGAAAACCTTTCAGATTCCCCTTTATGCAAACTGAAAACAAAAGCTTCAGGACAAAGACATGCATGAGTCCAGATTTTCTCTGTGCAATCTCACATCTGTAAAACCCTCTGTCAGTCTGTCTTCTGTCATTCGCGACTGGTTAAGAACTTTAAAGCCAACAAAGAATAAATTACAAGCAGAGTCAAACAAGGGCTTTATCTGAGTTAACTGGGATTGTGAATCCTGGGAAGACCCATGTGAACAGGATCAGCTTGTCATTATATGGAATTTGTTCACTGCACACTGTCTGTACTTTATCCAATGAAAAACTTCATTTTATAAATAAAATGTAAAGAGTATATGAGAGAATGGGATTTTCCATCCAAACAAAGAGGAAAAGAATCCCAGTTCCACAGCTGTGGGGCTCAGTTCAAACCCGGAATGCATAGTTTAGGCCATGTTTGATGTCTACATGTAAATTTGAAAGGATATTAATACCTGAAAAAAATACCACTTCCATCAAACCTTTCAGAAATCAGATTTCAATTTTAGGTATTTCAGAAACCAAACCTTTCAGCTTTGTTTCTGTCAACGTTACCGAGGTGTTGATGGACTGTAAGAGTTCCAACGGACACCAGTCAGGCATGGCTTTGTCTCACATGTATCGCACCACTTGCATGGTCTTTAGGAATGCTGGTCTTAAAAGACCTTGTCAGACAGCTGAAGACAGAAAAAAGGAGGTTTTCCCTTCTAATTGGCAAGCTTGGTGGCAATAATCCTTCAAGTCACACAAAAGAGGTTTGGCACACTTAATCAAGTAACAGAATTAGCACCAAGTCTGGGAACCATGGTTTCGGCATGACTTTCTGCCTTACCACAGACAAGAAGTGATGACAGAGGAGTATATATAAATCATTCAAAAGCAAAGACTATTTTTTTCACCATTAGGAGAGATTTTTTTTGGCAAAATATCTGTGTGTGCTAAATAGGGTAAGGAACCACTCTGTATTTTCACTCTCTTTTCATCTTGAAGAACAAACCTTCAAGAAAAAGGGAGACATGGGGCTGCAAAACATGACAGGATAGTGAAACACCCCTCAGGTGTGCCTGCGAGCTTGCATTGTGTGGTGGAGCTGGTCAGGACAGAGGTGCTTGAACACTGCAGGAATTGTCCATAATTGGTTTCCCATCAATGGAAACTAAAATTGACTAAGATTCTCTCCTGTTTCTTTCCTCTTTCAGATACGTTCAGAGGGTAGCCTTGTGGATGGCCCCGGAGCAGGCCAGATGGAACAGGACAGAACCAACCATGTTGACGGCAATAGATTGAGTCCATTTCTAATACCGCAATCTTCTCACGTTTGCCAGGCAGAGCCTTCTGCGGTGAAGCTACAGAATGGAAGTCCAGCAACAGAGAGGCCTGAAGTTGAAGTAAATGGAGACCACAAGCAGCTATTCATTAAAAGCAACTATGGCATGCCCCACCTGAAGGGAAATCCAAACAACCGTGTTAGCCCTGACCTTTTACAAGAAAAGAAAGTATATTCCAAATATATGCAAAATGGTGGGATAAAACGCACTTTTAGTGAGCCCTCTCTGTATGGACTTCATGAAAGCAAGAAAGTAAAACAAGACAAAGAGGTAAATGGAGGAAAAGTTGAGCCAGAGGATAATAACGAAAAACCAAGCGTCTCCAATTGCTACAGTGAGAAGAAACCCAAGAGTTTTACAGGACAAGAAAATGAAGTTTCCGATTTGATACAGTCTACAAGATGCAACAGTGGTGGTTCAGAAAACCCTCATGACCTCCTGATTCAGGATGAGCAGGACCGGGAAAATGTTCATTGCCACAACAGGGACATTGTCTTACTACTTAAGAACAAGGCAGTGCCAATGCCTAATGGTGCTACAGTTTCTGCCTCTTCCATGGAAAGCATGCATGGTGAACTCCTGGAGAAAACACTGTCTCGATATTATCCAGAACATGTTTCCATAGCAATGCAGAAGAACACATCTCATATCAATGCCATTACAAGTCAGGCTACTAACGAGTTGTCCTATGAGGCAACGCCTTCATCCCATACCTCAGGGCAGATCACTTCCCCACAGACCTCAAACTCTGAGCTGCCTCAAGTGCCAGCTGTAGTGGTTACTGAGGTCTACAATGCAGAAGACTCCAGTAACCCGCCTGTATTGCCAGGTAGCTGTTCACTTCAGAAACCAGAACTACAGCTACAGCAACAGATTCCAGGCTATGATACACACCAGTTGCCCATAGGAAACAGTACTGTTTGTGGAAGTGTAGGGCAGGTTCCCAACCAAGACCTCTCTCTAAGTTCCAGCAGTAACCTGCAAGCTCAGAGTGTCATGCTGGAAAGATATTCTGAGCAAGCAGAAAATAATGGTGCTCTCTTTAAACAGAACTCAACCTTTCACAAAGATTCCTCCACTCCTCCTGCTCCGGAAATGAACAGTGCACTGTCCGTTGTGGTGCAAGAAGGACACCATTCCTATAACAACAGATGTGATGAAACTCTTCCTGGGGAGATAAAGAATGAAGAGCAACAGCAGGGACCAATGTCAGAAAGTCCCAGCCTCAGCCAACAACTTCACCCTCAGCAGAGACTTCAACAGCAGGCACAAACATCACAAGATGACAGTGAAAGCAACCCGCAAGCTGCTGTGGCCGCCTCAATTCAGCAGCACCCAGAAGACATGGCGCCGGTGTCAGAGCCTCCCCTCCAAAGCCTGCAAGCATGTGGAAACAAGGGTGAGCTGCAGCAACACTATCAGCATTTCCCAGGACAGAGAGAACCCGAGATTCCTCCTGACACAGAAAAGGACCAAGTGAAAGAACCTGTGAAACAGGCTCAATGTTATTCAAAACCAGCCTGGATAGAACTGGTTTCCACCCAGTTCCACCAGGGAGAGCCTCCCAAAAAAAACAGCGAAGCATTATTGCGATCAATTCTTCAGTTCCAGGCAAACAGAGCCAAAATAGCCTATACAAAACAGTATGCTGGAAGTCCTGGTGCATTAAAGGGGCCTTCAGGGCAGCCCCAGAGCCAGAAGATAATGCAACAGGAACAAATTCCTCTGCTGTACAAAAGCGAGACCTCCCAGCTGCAGCCGCATCCCACAGCCGACCAGCAGCTGCTGTTCCAGAAACACTCACCGCAGCCACAGCTCACAAAGATGGATTCCCTACTGAAGTCCCAAGTGCAGCAGCACCCTCCACAGCAGCTCCATTTCCAGCCAAGACCAGAACAACAAACCGAACAGCCTTTAGGGGCCCTGCTGAAACAGCAGCACTTGAATCCCAAGCCAGGGGAAAAGGAGCAATTCCTGCATTCACACCTCTTGCAACAGATGCTTAAAAAACCCTCACAGCAGGTGCAGCTGCCGTGTAGTGCACAGCTAACCCCAAACCAGCAACAGGCTCTGCAAATGAAGAATAAAGACCTGCCCCAAACCATATCCCGCTCCCAAAGTGGTGCTGAACAGTCACTAAACAGGACATCCTTCAATCAGCATAAAGTAAATGAATGTTTTCAAACTGGGAATAAGTACATGAAATCACCCGCATTCCCACTGTATAACCCTCAGCTAGGCCTAGAGCAGGGACAGGGCATGAACAACAAAGCTCCCCTTTACACTCAGAAGGCAAACACCAGTCTGCAGCATCCCTGCCCAAACAATGTGCACTTGATTTCTGAGAAGAAAGAAAACGCCGCAAATATTGAACACTTTGGAGCCAACAAAATGCAGGACTTACAACATGTGCAGTATTTTTCAAATAACTTGACCGCAAAGCAAGATGTGAATCACTGTTTTCCAGAACAAGAGCAGCAGACGCAACAAGCTTCAGTTATACAGCTACCACCACTCCAGCATACACAATGCTACGGTGGTAGACTGAACCAAGATCTCCCGAGCCAACAAGCTTCACAGATTCCTCAGCAGTACTTACCACACAGCCAGCAAACTGCCCCACACACCCAAGACCAGAGAAGCTGTCATTTGCAGTCCCAGCCCCCTAAGGATTTTCAAAAGCATGCTGCTCTAAGGTGGCATCTCTTGCAAAAACAAGAGCAACAAGCATACCAGCAACCCAAACCTGAGACTGGTCCCAGTGCAGTGCGTAAGCCTATAAAACTCGAGGCTGGCACAAAGCCTAACGTCTGCATGCGTCCATCAGCTGGACAGCTGGAAAACAAAATTTGGAAAAAAACAATTAAACAAGAGAATCAGCACTTTGGCTGCGAGAACATGCAACAAAAGAGCATCATCGAGACAATGGAACAGCAGCTGAAACAGATACAGGTCAAATCACTGTTTGATCATAAGACTTTTACTATCAAATCACCTAAACATGTGAAGGTTGAAACAGCAGGTCCTATTACCATCCTCTCAAGAAATACTGGTGCTGCAGATTTTGACACTCAGACCCCGATCTTAGATCAACAAACAAACTTGTCTGCTGAGAAAACCCCGACCAAAAGAACAGCTGGAACTGTTCTCAATAATTTTTTAGACTCACCTTCCAAGTTATTGGATACTCCTGTAAAAAACTTGTTGGACACACCTGCCAAAACCCAGTATGATTTCCCATCGTGCAGCTGCGTGGGTAAGTGCTGCGATGTATTAAAAAATGTACTAACTTACAGGAAGGAAACGAATCTCCAAGTTAGGATCATGGAGTTAGTTGGGTATTTTTGTTGGAGGATTTGGGGGGTTGGAGGTTTTTTAGAACATTAATTAGTAAAGATATGAAATTGCAATTTTATGCACTTATG